GAGAATAAGAAAAATTAAACTCCTCTGTTTTATATCTCTTATCTTGTGCTATGCTTTAGGACCTCTCTTTCTGGACGTTCCTTTCTCCATTATTGACTAAAGTAGGAGCCTGAAAAATCCACATAGACTCATTTGCTATTTTTAATGGCTAAAGTTAGGCAAAATGGGTTCCACTCTTGAAGTGGCCTGCGTCTGCACTGTCTGTGTAGGTTGCCAGCTGCTCCAGGCAGAGGGGTGCCCTCCTTGGTATTTTGTACTGCAGTCATGAAGACCACTTCTTACGTATATTGATTGATATCCTGAGGACTTCAGATATGATGCACACCCATGGAAAAGCTGTCTGCGAAGAGCCTAGATAACTGCAAAATTACTTACAGTAAGGCATGGAAAGGTTACTGCAGATCCAGCTATTGTTATTGCATGGCTCACTCCTCCAGACTGAAGGGAGAGAAAATATACAGAATGTATCTATGCATTTGATGGCATGTTGAATGTTATACTGAATATACTTACAAAAACAAAGACTTATATTCCAGCTACTGTAGTGAACCAAACAAGCCTTTCAAAGGAGGAAAAAAAAAGTCAAATCCATGATCTATAATTATAGCTCAACAATTTATAAGGGGAGTGGGGCTATATTTTTCTAGCAATTGTGTTAACATATTCAGTGCAGTATGACTTAACATTTCTGCTTACCAGCTCTGCGCCCTCTTCTTTGTATCGTCTTCTTTGCATCCCTATGGGACAGAGATACTTGGTACGGCTGAGTTCTCAAAAGATTAAAACAGTGAGCTTGAACCTGCAATTCAGAAAGCAGCGTGGCTCCAGAGGAAGCTCTGAAAGGCTCCTTGAAAGGAGCAGGGAAATCAAGCTCAAACAGGCTGGGGAGCAGTCTTCTCACATAGAATTTCTAAAGGATTTTGCACCTACCTTCAGTATCTACAAATTGGAGGAAGGGTGAAACCACAGAATCTGATGGCTACAAATGGAAATTGTAAACTAGAAATGAAAGGCCAGGCTGTAATTGCTGAAGATAAAAATCCATGCACGCACTTGCCAAGAATTACGGCAAACCCAATACCTTTTCCAGCCCTTCCAGAGAAGTAGGGTGTCTTTCTAAAGTAGTGTGTGCAGTAAGCGTTACAGCACTTTCTTGCAAACCCTGAGCAATATCCCATGCAGGGTTGCTCAGAGATGTCAGCTCAAGTCCTGGATGCCAAGTTGGCGTGTCAAGGCAGTATAGTTTCTCAGCTATTCAATAGAATTAATTAGCGTGGCACACCATGGAATTAGCACAGCTATATTACTTCCAGTTCCACAACCAGAGCATATAAAGCTGGATGAGAAATCTCCTTGTCTCACCACAGAGATATAAATATCAAAAAAACTTGTTTTGCATTAATAAAATTCTACATTCTGAGATGAGCAAATATTCAGAGCAGACTATCATAGTGGCCCATAGTTCTTCAAAGTACATCCCTCTGTAAGCGTGACCAGTGGAGGATTTATCCATTTGCTGTTCTCTGGATTACCTCCCCTGTTCTCTGTCTCTTTTGATGAATGTGTCCAATTTCCCACAAAATATAAAATTATTCACCATTTACTGACCTAAAACATAGTCACTAATGGATACCCTTACAAGGGGTTTGGGAAAAGTGAAGGCACTTGAATTTACCTCTTCCTAAATGCACACTTTGCTGCTCAAAATGGACCACAGGAATATGCTGTAGCACATTACATCAGCCAAGGGAAAGATTCCACATTGTAAATGTGGTACAAGAGACACCACGAGCATAAGGGCATAGTCACTGCCTAAGGAGATAATGCCACATTGTGAGTAGTAGTGACACTTACTGTACCAAAAAGCCTTGTCTGCGTTAATGTTGCCAAATATTACACTACATTAATATGCATTACATAGTGTGCATTACATTAATGTAAGTATTACGTTACATTAATTACATTACTGTTGCATAAACCTGCACAATTCTAAGGCCAGCACAGAGCACACTATCTTCCTTCGCATGTATTACAGCAAGCACCAATGAAGTGTGCTTTCTAATGAAAAATACCAAATGTTTTAATACTACTTTCAAAAGGAAAATCTGTTTTTATTTTCTGTCTCAGTTGTAAAAATAAAATATGTCCAGTCATACAGAGCCATAGCTAGTCTTTGGTTAGATATACACTTCTATCCTTTTTGAGACAGATATGATAAAAAACACCAAATAAAGTTCTGAGAAATGAACTGAAATGTATTTTCCACTCTGTTTGTCCTCTCTATCTGCCTCTTAATCGTGGTCATAGCAACATGGTTCCAGGGGTGACCTGCTAGACAAATAGACCTGTTTTTCTTCTGTGCTTCTGCTCTTACAGCTTGCCTGCACCCAAGCCCAGCAGGATCAGAAGAGATGAAGGAGGGAGAAGAAGTGGAAGTAGACACAGATGAGCCTGGCACGTTCACACCTCCAAGTGACTTGATGTGCTTCTGCAACCCATTGCTTTCCTCTCATAGACACCATGATGAGTATGGCTGCCCTGTTGGCTTTTTAGTAAATAATCAATTTTGGTTTCCTTTTCTGTAAGTTTGAGTTCAAGCTGAACAGACCTTAGGTGTCCTTTTTAGTTTCTTTACAGAGGTTAATGTGCAAGAAGAAAAATGAAGACCAATTTGGTAGCTACTTTAGAAGTGCTTACTCACCTCAGTTATGATGCTGTATAGAGAGCGGTGGAACTTACTGGAGAGGGAAGAAGAAATGGAAAGAAATGAAATATTATTGAGAGACTAAGGCGAAAAAAACCCTGAAAGTTAAGCAGAGGTACAGCAAGCATTTAGTCCTGCACAAATTGTCAAATACTTGTCTCCTACTGTGCTCTGAAACAGTCAGTCCTCGTCTCGAACAGGCACCCTACTAATGATTCCTCTGTTCCTACCTCTTACACCAACAGTAGGTCAAAATCAACTTCACATTCCTTCAACATTGTTAAAATGTAAGGAATCTCGTTAAGATGAATTCTTAACAAAGGGAGAAATAGGTCAAAATAGCACATTTGTAGCTCACCAGTCCAATAAAATCTGCTGAATGAAATACCTCTGTGCAATGCTAAAATAAATGAGTAGGGTCTTTCTGACAGAGAGAGTTTATGTGCAAGATAATTTCAGCAGATCCAAGAGTCATCACAAGAGACACGCTTCTGTCTTTTAGTATAGTTGTTGTGGTACCTTCCATGTCTCTAACATTTCAAATGAATGCACAGTTAATTCTCAGGATCCAGACATTGAATATGCCTCTGTGGGACCAAACTTTGGTTCTTTACCTCCTGCTGTTCTTTTTGGAGGCAGTCTGTGCTTATTACAGTATTTTTTCTTGCAAGGTTATTGAACCACTACTAAAGCAGGAGAAGTTAAAGAGGGAAGGAGTAAAGAAGACAAGATCTAAGACAGCCTCAATTCTTGAGTCATACAATAGGTTTTGTGTGGGGTCACTTTACTGTCAAGGCACTTACAGGGGAGTAGTTTGCATCTTCCTTGGAAAAATTGCTATTGTTAGGATTTTGGAGGATATATCAGCCAAAAGGGCTGTTCTTTTGCTCCTGGATGGTTAAAAATATGCAGTCTTAGGTTAGTAGCCAGGTAGACTCAGCTAAAGTGTCAGAGAAAAGAAAGTGGTTCTTCACACATAGACAGTAGCCCCAAGGAGCTCCTTGCCAAAGGATGTTAGGGATGTAAAAAGTCTACATGGCTTCAAGGAGGGGGACTGGGCAGGTATGCAAAAGTGAGAGCTTGTGAGAAGTACTGAGTAGACAAATTGTACATCAAGCTGACAAAATCCCCTAAACTAACCCTCAACTTTTATACCTCCTTGATTCCAAAGAGCTAAACTTTTTCTGAATCTCAGAAGAAGACATCCATACACTTTAAAGCTTTTTTGTTTCAGAGAAATTTGGTAAGGAATCAAGCATTTGTAAGGAGATAAATGATCTATTTTGACACAGCCATCATCCTTGTAAGGTACACTTTTTTGGCTCAGAAAGCGTGTTTGCAGAATGGTTGTCATTCAGGAAGAAATAAGAGTTTATAAAAAAATCCTGTAAATTTAGTCCCAAAGGCAATAAATATGTCTTTGGAATAATACGGTCCTCAGAAAGATTCCCAAAATAAGGCTATCTAAGAATATGGCATCAGATTCCAGCATACCAGGAAAGTGGGAGAATATTTTGGTACCAATAAGAAGAGCAGTTAAAATCCTGTGTCAGATTTCAGGAGAAAAAAAAATACAGCATTTTAAAAAGGCTGAAACCTTATAGTAGCCTAATTCCACATGAATTACTACAAAAACGGGTTGGCTTTCTACTGATGAAACTCTGTTTCCAAGCACCTGCTGTCGTAGAAAACTGAAAATAAAAATCAGCAAATCTCTGAAAAATAAAATCATACCTTTTTCTGTTGTTGTTGTTGTTTTTTGTTTTTTGTTTTTGTTTCTTTTTTTTGCTAGTGACTCATAAATGGATGTAGCATCAATACAATTTTGTAAAAGCTTTTTGGACTGAGTTTAGGGGCTTTTTTTTTTTGGTCTGGTTTCCCACCCTCTGACAAACACAGACATCTTGCAGCTTGTCTCACAGTCTATATTTCAGATTCCCAGCTCTCTAAATCCCACATTTCTGATTCTGTAAATGCATCTGCTATAGGAGCTGCTACAAGTGGCTGGAACCTCTTTTCTTACTCTATAATCTAATGCACTTAGGGAGCCAATGAATATGTGTGAAAGGAGGGGCTTTCTGGCTAAGGGAGTCCTTGCAGGGGAACAGCTGTTACAATGACAAAACCTTAACCGGAGCCAGGCAAACACACTCACTCACATCTCTCCGTGGCTTTGTGCAGCTAGGTCTGGCAAGACAACCCCTCCTCTTCCCCTCTGCAAAAAGTGAGCAAGCTAGCACAGAGAAATTTAAACAAGACTGGATCTCAGTTGTGAAACGTTTCAGAAGATCCAGTAATGGCCTGGATCAGCAATATCTCCTGGTTTAATCACTTCACTCTACATGAAGAACGTTTCAGGAGGTACCTAAACAGCACTGAGGATTACTTAGCCTTCCTATGTGGGCCCAGACGGAGCCATCTGTTCTTGCCCATGGCTTTGGTGTACACCCTGATCTTTGTTGTTGGAGTGGTAGGTAACTTCTTAGTTTGCCTGGTAATCCTCAAGCACCGGAACATGAAGACTCCAACCAATTACTATCTCTTCAGCCTCGCTGTCTCAGACCTGCTCGTGCTGCTTTTTGGGATGCCACTGGAAGTCTACGAGATGTGGAGTAACTACCCCTTCTTGTTTGGGCCCATTGGCTGCTATTTCAAGACGGCACTCTTTGAGACGGTGTGTTTTGCCTCCATCCTCAATGTGACCACAGTCAGCGTGGAGAGATACATTGCCATCCTCCACCCTTTTCGTGCCAAGCTGGAGAGCACTCGCAAGCGTGCCCTGAGGACCATCGTGGTGCTCTGGGTCCTGTCCATTCTCTTCGCCCTCCCCAACACAGGCACCCACGGCATCATGCTGCAGTATTTCCCCAATGGCACCTTGGTCCCTGGCTCTGCTACCTGCACCGTAGTCATGCCCATGTGGATCTACAACTGTATTGTACAGATTACTTCCTTTCTCTTCTATGTGCTGCCTATGGGGGTAATAAGTGTGCTGTACTATCTGATGGGGCTAAGAGTAAGTCGTACCCCAACTGTGCTCAGTGTTTCCTTAGCTCATTCTTGTGTGTTTGTGTCTGCATGTGTCTTTTAAGTGATTGCACCTTTTTCTTGCCCATGTTTTCCCTCAAAAAAGCAAAAAGGTTTTTCAAACCTCTGAAAACAGTAGATCCAACTGCGTCTTTGATGTAATCCCATTCTAAAATGAATATAGCTATGTTGGGGAATAATTTACCCGAATCTGTTTTTAAAAAGTTACCATCACTGCTACTCACATTTGAAAGTTACTTAAATATCCAAGTCTGTAGATCGATTCCAGCCTCTTGGAGATTTGCACCTTTGCAGTAGGAGCTAGAAGGAAATAGACCAAAAGCAAAATGTGAAAAGAATAAAAAGGAAAAGGCTAGTGATTGAATTTTGTGTATTATTTGTTCTCCCTCTTCTTGTGACTGTGGAACTTCCATTGTATTACTTTATTTTTCTCCTTCCCTGGAGATGGTGATAGTATTCAGTTGTTAAAACTCACAAAGCTGTCATAAACTGAAATGCTACCTTATTGCTGCAGCTAGCAAATTCAGCAATCGTTTCTTTATATAACTATGGCATAGTTTCACCATTGATTAAAGCTATCTTAGAATTCATATTCATTCTCTCTTCAGAAAGTGAGACTAGTTTTACCAAGTTTTATCATCATTCAAATACATGGATAAAACAATCAGTGTCACAGTATTATAAAGCTATGTAGCACAACACTGAAATGCACTGCTAATCATAGACAGTTGACGACTTTTTTCTTCTCACACGTTACATATATTTAAAAAATACAAATCTTACCTCATCGTACTGAATATAACTTAATGTGTAAAGAGCTGTGTCTGATCATATAGCAAGAAAGGGATGCAATATGTTAGTAGAAACAAATGAACTTACCAAATAATGTGCAAGAAATTCAACCACATCTCTGCTGATGCATATAATATTTTGTTGTGCTGGCTGATATTTACTGTTATCTGAAACTACACAGAAGCAATTTTTCCTTACCCAGGAAAAGCTACAAGGATTAACTGCCAGAAATCCATAGCACACAGGAGATCTTTGAAGAAATGAATGGGTTAAATTATCCCCACTGCCCAGTGGCTGTTGTGGGGTCTTTACATAGTTTTACAGAAAAATTTGCAAAATTAGATCTGAAGGGAGGAAAAAGTGCTGAAAACATAGCTGTTACAAGAAGAAAAAGAGAAATCCCTAAACTAATAAAAAGAAGCCTTGAAGATTGCTATAACTTCTATTTGTGGCAGCAGATATTCCTAATTCCCATCCCAGAAGAGAAGCTAGATACCAGATGAGGGCTGCTCCCCCAGAAGTTCTGTATATTCAGAGATATGTTCAAGCTGTCTTTCCTAAGGGCTGCAATGTTCATTGTTTATGCTTCTGCTTCTCTGTATATCCAACTCAGTCTTCCAAATTTTAAACAACATCCATCCTGGGTATATCTGCATTGCGCTCCAAACTGCACTAGGCAAGATGATCTCATTTTTTTTCAACCGAAATAATAGAAGAATGGTGTATATATATATAAATTTTCAAGAGAAGGCACTTTTTATCTACTCACAGAGGATGAAATCTATGAAGCTTCAGCAACACTCCAGTGTCTCCTGAGTGTCATGTATTACTCAGTGACTGCAGTGGAAAAGTTAGAGCTGATCCAAAGGTTGTACAACCCATCAAATTCAGCAAACAGAGGCATAGACTTTCCCAGTGCAGGCTTTGTGGAAAAGCATTTTCTCATCAAAGTTTTTCCCTCCAGCTTTGTCAATGTTCAGGAGAGCCTCAGGATGCAATACAGAGTAAAGCATATGTGACACGTTAAGCGGCTGTGAGAGGATAGCAAACATGGGTCATACAGTAGCTGAGTTCTTTTTTAATTTTATCCCTTGCAAAAGGGAAAAAAATGTATTTGTCTTTCTCATCAGTAAATTCATGGCAAACAGAGACTTCTGTTTAAATTATATGGATATATTTTATGGCTTGATGGTTTAATACTACAATGTTATGGTCAATAAGTAGTTCCAGCATTAGTGTAAAGAAGATAACACTGACGATTACACTGTAGACTCATTAGATTTGATTGTGCTTCCTGCTTCCTGCTGCCTTTTTCATGGGTTCCTCGTCATAGCTACCTTTAGGACCAGTCCCTAAATCAGCCAGGCTCTTCTTTAAACTCTGTTCAGTTCTTGGGCTACTGCAATCTATAGTCAAAAAGTTCAGGAGGAAGATGAGAGAGAGAAAATGAGAACAAGGGGCTGCTTGTAGAAGCTAATCCCTGCCGTGCTGATACGGATCGGGTGGCAATTCTTGGGAAGAAGTCTGTGTTGCAGCAGGATCCAGTGCAGGGTCCCTGTCCGTTTCCTTCAAACTGATCTCTAAAAGGACACAGGGATAGGTGACTATCTCTAGTTGTTTAAAAGTCAGATGCTATTTAACCAGGATTTTTGACAGTGAATCAAGAGAGTGGAGAGTCCAGAGACCTATTTATCCCATCTACTTCAGACATCTATGAGGGGATCTAGATGATCAGATGGGACTAGACTGACCTTACCTAGGATGATTCTTCTGCTAAGAGTCCAACATTTCTCTTAGTGTCACTTCCCTTCAGTAACGCATTGGACACACTGTTAATTTTGATTTCAACTATCTTTGAATCAAGCAACTTATTCTTGCCAATGTACAGCTGGTCCAGATTTTCTCATCAAAATCTATTTTGCCTCCTCAACTTTCAGTTGTTCAAACCAGAATCTTCTGTGGGCAGTGACTGCCTTTGGTTAATTTCTGCAGAGCCCAGCACACTCCTGGAAGGGTCTATCCTCTTCCCGTGGTTTTCCTGCAAATTTTGCACCCACTAACAAATTTTCCTTTGCAATGGGAGTGAGAGAAGAGTACACCCAGGCTGCAGTTCAGTAGACAAGTGGTAACTGCTTCAACAAAATCACTCAAGTAGGCAGGACTGCATGCTTTAGCACAAGCCATGTGGATTTTAGATATCAATTTTTCCATCAGCTAGAGAGAAAGTTTGATCACCACTCATGTGAGACCTAGCCTACAGAAAATGGTTCTCCTGCTTTTGCTCAGTGGCCTCACCCAGTTTCCCTGGGGATAGGTGAGGCCCTAATTTTGCTCTGCCTTTTGATTTCTAGTATGAAATTCTGTAGCTAATAAAGATGTAGAGGGAAAATCCAATTTTCAGCTTCTTGCTCCAGACACTTTTAATTCTCTTACAGTGAATAGGTAACATTTGTCTCCAGGCAACCCTACATAGCCTCATACATCCACAGCGATGTAAAAGTAACCACTACCTTGGCTGGAGTTGTCCCTCTGTCACACCATTGGCATGAACTCAAGCTACAACCTTTGCCACGGACTAATTTTTTTTTTTCCTTCCCCTTTGTCACAATTCGTTGTTTTATTAAATTGCAACTGCTGAGTTATCCTTACTAGTTACACCTCCATCTATTATCACTTGAGGATAAACAGGAACCTTACAGCATCATCAAAATGGCAGGAGGAAGGTGAAAAATAAAGATACACGTGTCTATAGTTTATTGCAGTATCAAGAGCACTGTATTCTCTGAGGCTTTGTGTGGTGGGTTGACCCTGGCTGAATGCCAGGTGCAGACCAAAGCCACTCTATCACTCCTCTCCTCAGCTGGACAAGGGAGAGAAAATATAACAAAAGGTTTGGGGGTTGAGATAAGGACAGGGAGAGATCACTCACCAGTTACCCTCACGGGCAAAACAGACTCGACTTGGGGAAATTAGTTCAATTTATTACCAATCAAATCAAAGCAGGGTAATGAGAAATAAACCCAAATCTTA